ATCGTTTTAACTACTTTGGCCTGTGTTTTCACTTTCGACACTAGAGAAATCCTAAAAACACCACCATTTGCCTCATTTCACTCCGCTAGAAAATATAAAACGGCAACACTGTCTTGCTAGCCTCCATTTTTGTTTACTTTTAAATTTGACATTTCTCAAAAATATGACGACTCTCAAAAATAATCGATAACACAGGTTAGACACCGAAAAGTTATCGGTTTAACTAGATTATTACTGATTAACGAGGGAGAAATTTTGTATGGCTAATCTGTTCTTTTTTAAGTGTATTAATTCAAAATTGGTTAATTTTGGTATTAAGTTCACATATGTATGTATCACCTTACAGCAATATTTTTATTAATTATTTATTTTATTTGCATTTTCAGTCCTGTCGAAAACTCGAACTCGGCAGCATTCCTTGGCAACCCATCAAAGATTGTTGTTGTTTGTTATTATATAAAAAAACGCACAAAATGCTGAAAGGATATCAAAGAAATAAACTAGCATTTAATAGTGTTCTTTTTTTAAAATTTCGGTAAATTATATTTACTACTCATTGAGGGATTACGCGTTAACTTTGGTTGCTGCAAGCAGGTACCTTGGAAATATATTTTGTACACGTATCAAACATCTGATTTGTTTCTGAATATTGATTTTCAAATAGCACGTTGTGAAAGACAAAAAACAGTCCAGTAGAATATATAAAACGGCTTCCTCTACGCCTATATGTTGGACAACTACTCGTGAATTACTCCAATGTACATAAAGAACTAAACGAGGTATGCTTAATTCATATATACATATGTATATGGATAAAAATAATTTATTTCTTATAAAGGCAAAGATGTTCGAAAACAAAAAATTATGTATGTACGTATGTATGTATGTATGTATGTACATATGTGAGCATACATATAAGTAGTTAATTGAAGGACAAATTTGGTATAGTGACCGGCGGGAGGAAAAACAGCGCATTCTAAGTCGTGTTATAAAATGAATCTGTGTAAAATGAAATCGCACTT